GGTCCGGGCCCGCTTGGGCCCCTTCCGTGGCCCGTATGAAAGCCCTCCCCTCTTTGTCGAGGCAGTCTTTGCCTTGACCAGCTCCGAATGAAAGGATGCGGCTGAAGCCAGCAACGAACCCAGTACGATCCAATCGATCTGGGCTCCATCCACAATCAGCCTCCTCCCAGGATCGAAGCGCTCGAAATTTTGATTTGTCAAGTCATCGGCCCACTGATTCTTATCCCTCGGAACCCAGCGGAGGTCGAGGACCTGGTTGCTACTTCTCAGGGTCTCCGAAAGCTCCATGAGCAGCAGAGGCAGTGGGAACTTAGTGGACATGAGCTTGGAAACCGCATAACTGTTTCCCTGGTTGTCCGTACCGCCAGTGATGTGTCCAGCGGATCTTCCATCCTTCAGCATTCGCTTTCCCCATAGCTTGACACAGATCAAGGTACCCAGCAACTCGAGGCTCGCAATGGTGCGCTTCAAGTCCTTCTTGATGAAAGCCCAAGGCGCCCAGCTCTCGAGGACCTCCACGGCGTACCATTGCAACACCTCTTTGCCGTCCCAGAGATAGCCACCAATCCAGGAGCAGTTCTCCTCTGCTTTCGCATCCGAGAAGAAAGTCAGACCCCGATCCGCTGGTGCCTCGGCGATTTGCATCGGGGACTGAAGCCGTTCCCCCGACCTGAAGCGGTTCGCCATCCACGAGAGGATGGACCTCAGCATCACCGGCAGCCTCAGTGTTCCTCTGTGGCCCCGAGTGGCAGACGACCACGAGTAGAGCGGCCCCAGGAAGGGGCGCTCCCAAGAGAGAGCATTTGCTCCAAAGCTCAATCGTCCAAGGCCGCACGCAAAGTCATCCCAAGTGACGGTGCCAGTCTCCGCAAGCTTTGACGCCCAATCCGCGAGCCATTGAGCCCTCTTCTCAGATATGCCCAGTCTGAAGGTCGAGTATGAAGTCTCGTACTCGATCCACTGCACATTTAGCCCCCCCTTTGTCTTCGTCCACTTGAACGGAAATCCCAGGCAGGCCAACAGCGCATAGGCGAGCACTATTCCCCGGCGACCCGCCTTGTCGCCCCCGATCATCTCGACATCATCCGCGAAAAGAAGCATCTCCAGCGCTCGCCTCCCAGTCAGGTGGTGAACCAATCTGATGGATCCCCCGGAGATTCTGGCCCACCAGTATCCAGCGCTCGCCAGTCCGAATGTGCCTACACAGTTCAGGTACACGATGCAGTCCCGGGAGGATGCTTTACATCCCAAGTACCCCCACTCATCCTTCCGGTGTTTGAAGCGCCGGTGGGCCTTTGTTATGTCCCCGGTGACTGCCATCGGAGCCATCCTGTCGGCCCTGAGCCGCCGAAGGAGATAGCGTTTCTCTCTGGCCCCCGGTGATCGAACTTTGTCGAGGCAGCGTATTCTGTGGTTTAGCAGGACGTCGTGGGAGGCGTCGTGCACCACCCGTTTCTTCACCGGCGGGCCCTCTTCGACAATCACTGCTATCGCCGAGATCGCCGCCTCCTCCCCGTACTGCGCCCAGAAGGCCTCCTCGTCCATCTTGATCATCAGGCCCTCCTCCACCTCCGCATCGAAGTGTTCCCGTACGAAATCCAGATTATCTTCGGCCGACTCGTAGTTGGCCTTCCAGGATTGCGCCACGTCCAGAGGGCCCATCTCGAGCTTCCACTTCGTTTGGGGCTCGAAAACATTCGGCGTTCTGGGAAGCGCATGCTTAACCCCAACCGGAAACCCCTCAATCCCTTCAAGAAAGACTTCCCAATCAGGATCCGAGGCATCCTTCAGAAGTGCAGCGATAAGCCTTAGTCTGAAGGGCTGTCCAGGGTCGATTTTGTTCAAGCTGTCCAGGTCTTGCACTTTGCCCTCCAGATGAGAGAGCAGGGTCGCCCGAAGCTTTTCATGAAGAAGGGGGTCGGCAACCAATTTGCAGCCCATCTCGCCCTTTGCGGCCATCTCGAAGGGGATCCTGTCCAGTTTCTCCGGGCCGCCGGCGTGGTCAAGGAGGATCGCTTCAAGGTTCCCACGCAGCTTCTCCCATCCGTCCGCCTCGCAATACTTGCGAGCAGCAGGATCCCATCTGCCCGGGGAGCAGAGCCCTGCCCCGTCATGAAAAGGCCGGCTTCCCCAAGGTTCACGGCAGACACGTGCCGGGCCTTCACCGCCCCGGACGGGCGGCCACGTCGGATCTATTTCAGGCTCCGGAGAGAGCCCTCCCGCTGGCTCCAAGATAAATCCGCGCTCCTTGAGGATCTTCTTGTCCCCCGCAGCCATCTCATGTGCTCTCGCCACAGTATAGCCAGCCAGGACCAGTCGCGTGCCCGTCCAGTCTTCCGTAGCGTGCCAGCGGTGGGCGTCGAATGAGATCCGACCCTTCCTCCATTCCAGGACGTCGCCCTCCATCTCACGCCCCAGGATCAGTCTCTTCGCCAATCCCCCATCGCGCTGCACCCAGAGTCCACCCTCCTTGAAGCAGGTGCATGCCAGGAGCAGGTTTTCCGCCTGCCCGTTTGTGGAGTCTCTGTGCGGCGGTTGTTTCAGGTCTCTGAAGAGCGCAATCGAGGTGAAAGATGCCCCAGGGAAAGCCGCCGCCAGGATCCTAGCGAGCAACTCGCTAGTCCATCCGTAAGCTCGAAGGTTCTTCCGTAGCCCCACTGTCTCCTGGTGGATAAAAGCCCCAGTCGTGAAAGATCGTTGTCCCTCCACTCTTGAAGCTGCTTCCCGAATCCTGGTCTCATCAGGAAGGTCCCTCGAGAGGTCCCGCAAGTCCTCCTCCGTGACGAAACCTTGCTGAAGAAAGCGCAGCGCCCGGGATTCCAGTTCTCCCACGTGGTCCCCCGATCCAGTCTGGCATCCCTTGACTGGCTCAAATCTGAAGATCTTCCCACGCTCCTCCAGCTCCTCATCCGTCGTGTCCGGTTCCGGCTCCGCCTCTTTCTCCCCCACGGTAGCAGTGGAGCCGAAGTCGGCCAGGATGGATGTCGCGACCCATTGGCAGAAGCTTGGTGGCCACTGTTCTGTCCCTGTCGTGCTGAAGGGAGCCGCTGAGCGGCTTCGCATGGCAGTGGCCGTCGGATGCCGGGGCAGTGGTCCTGTGTAGAAGCCAGAGTCATCGTAGGTGGGCAATCCTGCCCGCATGGATGCTGCCAGCGGTTGACGGGTCCGAAGCAAGAGTCGCGTCGGCTTTGCGTATTCAGTGCCAAAGTCGGCCTGGTGGAAGGCCGCATGCTGAGCCCGCGGGTGCGAGGACAGCCTACGGAAGCTCGGTCGTTGCCACATGGACGAAGGACGGCGGTCCGTGTCCAGGGCCCCCAAATCCTCTGGCTGTTCAAGCAGCAGAAAGCAGTCGGTCAACTCGAGGGCCTCGCCGGCAGCGGTCATGGCAAAGTCGGCGAGGTTGTTGCCCAGTTGCGCTTTCCGCCGTTCGGCCCAGCGGAGGCCAGGCAGCCCATCGGGATGCGCAAAGGACCTGAGAGGCCGCGGTCCTTTCCTGTTTCGCCAAGGAGCGCGACTGAAGGTCGAGCAAGGGGGGCTACGAATCACTGCAAAGTAGTAGCCCGACCGAATGCGTTCCAAGAAGAGATTCTGTGTATCGAGATTTGACAAATCATAAAAAGGTTTACGTAAGATGTCCACGGCATCCACCTTGAGTGAGATCCCGCTTGTGCGTGCTAATTTGGTGAGCCAAGCTTCCAGCGATTGTTTGCGAGGTCGTCCGCAGAACAGATAGATCACCCGAAGCTCACCACCGTGAAACACACCACCGTCTGTGCCGAGTCAGTGCTTGCCAGCAGTGTCGCTGCTTGACTTGCGCTTTGGGCAACCCACAAAGTTGTGATTCTGATCGAAGCAGTGACTACAGACATGCTTGAACTTGCAATTCACCAAAGTGCACCCCTCCTCTGTGTTGAATCTGAAGCAAATTGGATCCCCGGCCCGAGTTGCTGCGTGTCCTCGGAAGGCTCGACCAGCACCGCGGCCTTTCCCCTTGGCCCCCTTCTTGCCCTTTCCCTTTCCGGGAGGCCGTGGGATCCAAGTATCCACGGATGGCATGCTGGTATCCTGAGGCTTGCGTTTGGAGTACATGGTGAGGGGAGTCGAGAAATGGCGCTCCTTAGTAACGGGATCCTTCCATGCTTTCTCCCACGCCACGGCAATCGCGAGGTCCTCCACGGTCATGTAGTGGAAAGCCTGCTTCCTGATGGCCTGTTCGTATGCCAGAACCAGTTGCCAAGGCGGCGTGTGAATCTGTTGAAACTAAAGGCTTCTCAAGCCTTCCTTCCCACTCTACTTTCAAACACACTTTTCTCACTTCGCGGGCTGACTTCCTTAAGCCTCCGTGTCGCGGTTCACACACATGTTTCATGTGTTCTCGTGATTACTCTACACACTCTACTTGGGACTACGTGCACTAGGTTACAAACGAACACCCCGCCTCAGAAAGTTCTTGCGGGTTCCTAGGGTGTTCTTGGAAACTGCTAGGGCTTTCTGTACAGTGCTTTTGCTAGGGACTTTCGTCTCCGTTGTTCTTGGTCTTTTACCTAGCTGCACTCCTGCCCTGTTGCTACTTAGGCCTTCTATGTCTGTACATTGGCCTTCTTGAAAAACCTACTCTGTATGTACAGCTACGTTCTAGTTAGGTCCAGCCTATGGACTCTTTGCGGGGAGGCCCGTACCCCGGTTTCCTTCTGCCCTTACGTAGCCTACGGGCTTTTCTTCTTTCGGGCTTCTTATCTTTGTTTTTGGCTTCTCCGGCTTCTTGCCTCTTCTGGCCCTTGTACCTTCCTAGCCTGCCTTTTGTGAAACTTCTTGTGAGACTTTGGAAGGTTGTAGCTTACCTAGGCTTACTGCCCCAGTTTGCTACGTCTATACATTTGCTCACACTTTGTACATGAATTCTTGTGCTAATATACATCAAGTCTTACGTTGCTTAGCTATGTACATATGTACAAGCGCTCACTGCTTGACCTGCTCGATCATCCCTTCTCGGGATCCTTTCACTGGGTCTGTGCCCAGTTCTTGGACTTCTTGCCTTTACCCTTTCCTTTGGGTGTCCACTGGTCCCACTGGTTCTGCTGCGCCCACTCTTCTGGCGTCTGCCAGTAGCCTTTGTTGTGCGGGTTCGCGTTCTCGTACCAGTTGCTGCCGTCGTCGGTGGTGCTCCAGTTCTCGTTGTTCCACTGCTCGTTGTAGTACCAACCGTCGTTCTGTCCGTCGTCCCAGGAAGGGCCTTTTCCCTTCGTTCCTTGGTTGTCATGCTTGCCTTTCGCGTGGATGCGTCGCTGCACCTCTTCCTCGATCTTCTCGTTCTCCTTGGTCTCGAGGAATTTATCCAATTCCTTTCCGTCTGTAAACCAAACGTTGTGCTTCCTGTAACACTCTGTCACCTTGTTCCAGAGCATGCGTCCCTTGACAGGCGCATTCTTGATTCTCGCTGCACCTTTCTTGTCTTCACACTTCGCGCGGTACTCTTGCGTCTTCTTGTTGAACTCCCACACGTAGCCAAGCTGCGTGAACTCGGCTATGTCGTTCGGGTCGACGGTAGTTTCGTCTCCTTGGTTGCTTGACGGCTTCTCTTCTTGGTCTTCTGTCTCTACCTGCTTTGGCCTTTTTCCTTTCTTCTTCTCTTCCTCTTTTGCCTGCGCTTCTTTCTTCTCTTTCTCTTCTTCTGCTTTGCTCTTGTACGGCTCTTCTGTCTCTTCTTCACCTTCGCTTCCAGACAAGGTTGCACCTAAGGTTTCCTTGAGGCTTTTGACCTTCTTCTTGTACTTCACGATCTTGTCCTTAGCTGCAAGTAGAAGTGCGTCCACTTCCTGTGAGTAACCTTTGAAGTACTGGTAGTCGTCCTTGAGGCTCTTGTAGTCGTACTGGAGGTCGTCGAGCTTCTGGTTCCTTACTTTCTCTTCTTGCTTTAGCACCTTAAGCTCTCTCTCCAAGTCCTTCTTCGCGTCGTCAACGTACTTCTTGGCGTACTCTTCTCTCTCCTGGTCGTAGCCGGCGGTTCTTTCCTGGGCTTTTCTCTCTCTCTTCTCTGCCTCTTTCTTTTTCTTCTCAACCTCTGCTTCCTTTGCTTTGACGTTCTCCTCAGCTTCTTCAAGGGCTGTCTCCTTCTCGCTTAAGACCTTGGCTTGCTGTTGAACGGTCTCTTGGTCCTTCTCTAACTTCTCTTCTCTTTCTGTAACTTTGTCTTCCTTTTCCTTCACCTCCTTCTGCTTCTTCAAAAACCTTTTTACTGTCTCCTCAAACTCTGTCTTCTGGTTTCCAAACTGCTCCTTCTCCTTCTCCAGGTTTTCTTCCTCCTTCTTCAACTTCTCTGCTCTCTCTGTCACTTCTTTCTTTGCCTCGTCGAAGGAGTCCACGTCGTAGTTCACCTGAGCGGCAGGAGCTTCGTCTCTCTTCTTCCTTCGGTTCTTCTTCTTCTTTTCCTTCTCTCCACTTCTGCTTCCTGAGCTGCTTTCCTCTTCTTCTTCGCTGCTCCTCTCTTCTCTCTTCGGCTTCTTGTGCTGCTGTGGCTTTCTCATCTCGTTCACGACAAACCATGCCGCCATGCACACCATGGCGAGCGTCACCAGGACTTCCAGAAGCGACATGCTTCCAGGACTGCTTGGGACTTCTTGTGGGCTTGCTACTTCTTGAGCTGCGGCGAAAGGTACGTAGACTGCCTCAGTCTTTCCAAACAAACTCGAAAGTGCAAACAACATGCTGCTTTTGTTCTTCATGATCTTCTCGAGTCTTCTTACCACTTGTGCCTTTTCTTCTTCCTCTCGCTCTTGCTCTCCAACTCTTCCTTCGCTGTTGCACATGCCGATCATGTTCAGGAGAAACTTCACTCTTTTCGTGCTGAGAGGCTTTGTTCCTAGGTCTGCTGTGTTTTCCTTTGTACCAACTGCGTGTACAGTAAGCTTGCCTTCACGTATTGCTGCTTGTAGCCAAAGTAACCGAATCTGTAGGTGCTTGACTCTTCCTGTTCCTTGGCGGTTTGTGATTCCGCGGCATGCGGAACTGTCTGTGTATGCTTTGAGTAGTACTCGTTCTCCTGTAAGGAAACGAACTGCTGCGTGTAAACCTATTCCCTCGCTTGCTGCTCCAGTAAGTGCCATGTATTCTGCTTCTGCTGAAGATAATGCTATCGACTTCTGTGTCCTGCTGTAGCTGTAGAAGTATGCACCGTCCAGGTAGAACATGGCGCAACTCACTGACTTCCTAGTCTGCTTGTCTCCGGCCCAGTCGGAGTCGCTAAAAACTTCCAGCAAACGTTCGCGTGGTTGTTCTCGAGGTTCTTGTAGTTCTTGTGGTTCTTCAGCGCGGTGACGTAGAGCTGACGTTCCTGGGCTGTTCCTGTGGTACGTAACGGCGTAGTCTGACGTTCCTTTGAGGTAGAGCGCCAAGTGCTCCAACTCCTTTCTTTTACGTTCCGTTGGCTTCGTCATGGCAGTACTGAGGCTACGTACTGCGAACTGAATGTCCGGACGGTCGTGCGCTACGTACAGCAAAATGCCGACACAACTTCTGTACGTTCTCGAGTGTTCCTCGTCCAGTTCTTGGGATACGTCAGGTTCCTGACTAGCCGGTGTGCAGGGTGAGTTCTTGGCCTTCTTCTTCTCCAGCTTGAGGATCTCCACGAGTTTCTTCACGTACTTGCTATCGCTATGTACTCGTAGTTCATGTTGTTCGTACGTGTACTTCCTTTTGAGAAACTTCACGGTCTCCTCAGAAAATCCTTTCTCGTAGTCTTCCTCGTTCAGAAGAGGTCCTTCAATTTGTAGGTTCACTTTCTTCTTGAGGTTCCTGAGGATTGGTTCGATGACTTCCTTCTTTCCTGCAAACTGCAAGTCATCTACGTGCACAATGCAAACCGCAACCACTTTTCCTTGTCGTAGAAGACGGTAAAGTGCTGGAACTGCAGTACAACGCTCAAACTTCTCTTCCACCAAAAGACCATCACAAAAGTCTGACCAAAGACTGGATGCGTCGCGTTGACCTGGCAAAACTCTTCCTAACTTCCAACACCAAGTTCCAGGGTTGCGTTCTTGTTGTTCCTGCATTGCTTGTACAACGTGAGCTGCTTCTTCAGGTACTCGACACAAACAAGGTGTTCTTTGAGGGACTTGTAAAAACGCGTCCTTCACGTCGACACTGTAGATCGCCCAATGGTTGGCGAGAGCCAACATGGGTACCAGTTTTGTAATTCCTGGGCTTGTCGCAGGAGAAAATATATCTTCCCTTTTTCCTTCTGTCTTGTATTCTCTGGCTACTAGTCTGGCACGTCGTTGCCAGCATCTTTGAATCTGCTTGGGCTTTGTTGTTCCTTCTTTGACTTCTTCAGCTTCAAAACCTGTAGCTTCTCTGAACCTCCAATCTTTCACCAACTTCGTTGTCAACCACTTGTGAAGTTCTTGCTCTGAATCTACCAGAGGTACATTCTCAGTTACTTCCTGAGGATCTGTAGAAACCAACGAAATAACTCCCATCTTTGTTAACCTTTTGATTTCTTTGACTGTAGCTTCATCGTCCAACTTCTGAAGAAAAGCCGGGTCCACGTTCGGTGGTCCTTTCTCCTCGTCGAAGAACTCGACAGGGACCTTGGTAGAAACTTCCGTTGGTTCACTCTCTGTCTCCTCTTCTTCTTCTTCCGACTCGTACACAAACTCATCATCTGCTTCGTAGACTTCATCATCATGAGGCATGTTGAGGTAACCGTCTGTTTCCTCTGCTCTGTTAACTTGCTTTCGTAGCTTGCTGGGTGAGCTTGGTTCCTCAGGCTCAAGGCTGTGTTTGCTTGCTTCTGCTCTTGGTTCAGCTGGTGCTGAAAGTGCTTCTGCTGAGGCTGTAAGTGGCTCGACTGCTCTGAGTTCCTCCAAAAGGGTCTCGTCATCAACTTCAGCTCTTCTTTTCCTATCTCTCGTCACACTCATGCTGCTGGCTTCACTTTGTTCCTCTCTGTCTTCAAGTGCTTGTTGCTGCTCTTCACTGCTGTCCTCCGAACTCGGAGGATCGCTAGCGGCCTCGTCGTTCTCGAGCTGTTCGCGTTCTTCCTCGGCAACAGGGGGCAGGATGCTTAGCTGTGGTCGTTGTCTTTGCTTCTTCTCTGGGAGTACTCTTGCTCCAAGGAGTGGCGTGTTGAGGTTCCAGGTATGGACCTCTATGTTGCTTGTTCTTTTGGAGTCGTACTGTTCTGGTAGTGGTCTCACGCTGCGTGTGATATGTATGCCATCAGGCTGTGCAACGATCCATGTGTCTTGTTCTGTCTTGCCTAAAAATATTCCTGCATTCCATATCCTGTCGCCTTTCTTCTTGATCTTCAACCTCTTCGCCATCACAACAGTACCAAAGGGTACAAGTTTCCCTGAGTAGGGGTATCCGTGGATAACTTCCTGTGGCGTTCTTCCTGTGGAGCTGCTCACTGCGAACCTGTTGAGTAGCCAGCAGGCGTGTCTAAACGCCCAGCTTACTACTGCGTGCTCGTGTGGTATTGCCAGCTGTGTTCTTTCTCTGAGTTCATCGAGAATGGTGTTCGCTTGCCTCCGTACTGTTTGTATTGCTCTTTCTGCGGCTCCATTGCTTTCGTGGTCGTAAGGAATGCTTTCCTGTAGTGTTGTAGAAAGTCCAAGGCTGCTGCGTACTTTCTGTACTTTGTCCTTGAGTGCTTTGGCTGCGTTCTCGTTGTCTGCTTTGAGAACGAGGGTGTTGTACCCGAGCTGCGTGGTGAACTGCACGAGTGCTTCCGCGAGGTGCGTTGTGCTTCCTGCTCCTCCTTTCCTCTTGCAGGGCACTGCCAAGACTGCCTTGCTCCAGCTGTCCACAGCGACAAGAGTCACTGCTGGTGGCTCTTCACTTCCTGTGGTGCTTGTATAGCAAAAGTCAAAACTGATGACGGGCTTCGCGGAATCCGTAGAGCTGCTTGGCTTGCTCAATCCTTTCTTGTGGTTGTCTTCTCGTGCTTTCATAGCAACGCAATGAGGACACCAAGGCTGATACGGAAGGTGCGTCAAGTTGTGGTACGCTCTCTCCTCTTCCGTTGGTTCCTGTGGTGGTGCTAGGTGGTATGCTTGGTGGTGTTCCCGTTGTTCCTTGTGTTGCGTGCTGAGCCTTTCTTCTCTGACTGCTGTGGCGAGTCTCTTCAAGAGCTGCTTCTTGCTTCCTGTTGTCTTCACTCTGTACTCTCTGCAAAGTGCTTGTAGTTCCTTAAGACTGCTTTTCTGAGCTGTGTACTCGACGCCTTCGTGGTAGAAGCTTTCCTCCAAAACTTCAACAACTTCTTGTGGTGCTTCTTGGTCTCCTTGTGCTTCTCTCATCTCTTCGTCTTTACTCTCCTGCACTTCTGGTGGTACTGCTGAATCTTCCTTCTCTTTGTAGTGTTCTTCCTTCTTCTTCTTTAGCTCCTCTGCTGCAGCTTCTGCTTTTAGGTCTTCAACAACTTCTGGCTTCACACGGAACCTTGTTTGACCAAACCACGGCAAACGAAAGTGTTCACGTAGAGGTAGGCGGTCTGCTCTCCAGTCGTCGCTGTGTTCGTAGATCTCCGTACTGTAGATGCAGTCTCCTTGGGTATACCTGCTGTTCTCAAGATCTCCAAGGAGGACAGGACAGTTGGAAACTCCTGTCGGGTCAAACAGTACAGTTCTCGGTACTACGTGGTGACGAACAACTTCTCCTTTCTCGAGGTCCATTTTCCAGTAGTCACGACCATGACTTTCTTGCTCTGCTCGATCTCCAGCTGCGTAAGGGGTGCCAAGGATCCAAAGTGGAATTGGCTTTGCTGAAATGGCTGTAACCACTTCCTTTTCTCCTTCTGCAAACTCTTCAAAAGGGTCTGCCTTCTCGGAGTACTTCTTTGAAACTTCAACTGCTCTCCATCCTCTCTCTTCTTTCACCAAAGTGCTTCTGTACGGAAAGTGCGTAGGGCTATACATGAGAGATGGGTTCTCGTAGTTGCTTTGAGTGGCGTACTTCACGATCACCATGCTGTCTGTGTTGTGCCAACCAGGTTCTTCTTTGTTCACTGCTTCCTGAACATGCTTGTTGAGCTGAACAACTGTCCGAACCATCTTGTAGTTGGTGCTGCTGTAACTTCTGCTTCTTGAAGGAGTTTGTACGTAGGCGTAGGCTGCCAAGCTGTTCTTGTGGAGATGCACTGGTATTCTTGAGCTTCCGTCTGTAAGACACATACCTTCTTCTTCGTTCACTCGCAACTCCCAGCCTTCTCGAAACAGCTTGCCTATGGCCATCAGCGGGTTGATCACCGAGGCAACGGTGAAGGCTTCCTGGATGCGACAAAAGCTTCCGTCGTCATCAAAGAACGTTAAGTTCAGCATCCTTCTGCCTTCCGTCTTGATTGCTTTTCCTTGTGCGTCCTGAATGGACGAAGGGCGAACCTTCAAAGGGGTTCCTTCTCTTCCTAGCCAAGAGGGCACAAGAGAAACGTCTGCGCCAGAATCCAGGATAACTTCGATTCTTTGGTGAAGATCACTTTCCTGGAAAAACTCTTCCTCTACAACGCGTACTGAAAGAACTTCTTGTGGTGGTAGTGCTTCACGTCCAAGGTACCAGTTTAGTAGAGGATCTTCTTGCTCTTCTTCGCTCTCTTCTCCTTCTGACAGAACAAACTCTTCAGCTTCCGTCACTCTCAAGACTCTTCCAAAGTACTCGATCTCGAGCTCTTCTTCGTCTTCGTCGAGTTCAAAAACTTCAGGGTACGTGACGGGATCGTTGTCCATGTGGTACATCGCGATCTGCCGAACTGTTGGCTTAGCTGTAGACTTCGTGCTTGCAGTTCTTGTTGTTGTGGCTGCCGAAGCGCTACTGCTTGGAACTGTGGTAGGCTGTGTCCTGACGCTTTGCTCGTCTTCCTCCTGTGTGCTCCTGACATTCTGCTGCATGTCTCTCTGCTTGAGTCTGCAATTGGCTTCGTAGTGTCCAGGCTTTTGGCAGTAGTGGCAAACAGCAACTCCTGGGTTGTTGTAGCCTTTACCTTTTCCTTTGCTGCTGTAGCCTTTTCCCCCGCCTTTGCCATATCCTCGGCCTCTGCCTTTTCCTTTTCCTTTTCCTCGTCCTTTTCCTTTTCCTCGGCCTTTGTAGTAGTACTGGCTTTCTCCTTTTCCTTTTCCTTTGCCGAAGCCTTTGCCTTTGTACTTGCCGAATCCTTTTCCTTTCTTTCCTTTTCCTTTATCCTTTCCTTTGCCTTTCCACCATTCAACTCGTGAAACATCCATGTCTGCTTGTCCTTGGTGGTCCTTTCCTGAGTTGATGAGGTCTGTGGTAGTCCACCTTGCTGCTTGCTCGTAGGAGAGGAGGTACTGCCGTAGTGTTCCATACTTTGTGGTCTCCTTCTGGTTGAGTAAAAGATGTTGTCTCATATTCCCTTCGGTTCCTCCAAGTATGATGGAAATCTTCATGTCGTCCGCAACAAGGTCTCCACTCGCTCTCTCGTACTCTTCAATCAACTCTTCAAACTTCAGGATATTTTCTTGTGTTGACCTTTGCTTGTCGAACCTGTAGTGAAGAACTCCGTTAAGTAACTGTAGAGAACGTGCACGGTTGTGAGGCTGATGCTCCTCCACCAACAACCTCCATGCTTCGAAACCGTTCTCGTTGGGTACTTGCTTTAGAGTTCGTAGAGGACGGCCACGTGTATAGCTGGTGAGGATGGAATGTAGCTTTCTTGAAAGTGCTTGTTCACCTGGGTTAAGTTTACTCCATTCCCATGATGCTTCTCTTCTATCCATCTCGACTGCGTTGATCTTCTCAAGGATGTCGTTGTTGAGAGCGCCTATCCAACTTCTCAGCTTCAACCGAAACTCTAGAAAACCATCACGCTCTTCCTTGTACGTAGTAGGGCCAAAGACTTCTGGAGATTTGATCATCTTGTGGAGGTCAATCTCTCCTGGCCTTCTTGACTCTGCGTGCTGCGACAGTGCTGTAACTGCGTCTGCTGTAAGCTTTCCTGTTGCTGCAACCGCATTTGCAGTAAGCTCTGCTTGTTGTGACAGTGCTGTGTTGGTTGCTTGGGTTGCTTCTGTAATTGCTCTCTGCTGTTGTGAAACTGACTGCGCGAGTTCCTGTAGTTGTTGTGAAGCGGTACCTGCCTGCGCTTGCTGACTGTTCATTGCTTGGGCAAGTGCTTGTATCTGTTGTGTGTTTTGGGCAGTAAGGTCCGTGAGCCTTTGCAAGGCTTCTTCCATCGCAACTGCACTCTGCATGTGACTGTAAAGCAACATAACATGCAACCAGACTCGCTTCTCGAAAAGAACGCTGCAAACTGACCTGTGCAACTTCCTTCTCGAAACTTTCTTCTTCAACTGTTCTCTTTTTGTTTGCTTAACTCTGACCCAAAAATAGAGGTAGATCCAAGTGACCATACCAAGCGGGGTCCCAAGTAGAAGTAGTACTGGGTGACACGTGCGCACGACGTAGCTCACGACGGGCTCAAGGCTTCTTCCTGCTTTCGCAAGGTACTCTTGAAACTCCAAAACCAACTCAAACACAAGGTTCTTGTAGTAGTTCACGTGGGGCACTTCTTCGTTCTTTAGGTTCTCGTTATACTCCGCGACATCACCTTCATGAAAACTGTAGTTGCAACTTTGTTCCTTTACTTCTGTTCTTGTAGAACTCGGAGTACACGTTCGTCTTCTTGAGGTAGCTCGTGACGTTGATCTCGTTCTCGTTCTCGGTTTGGTATTGGGCTCATGTAGATGCGACCACAACGTGAAAAGTTCTGTGTGATCACCTTCTTGGCTCTTCCCGGCAGGTACAACATCCGCTGGGGTAATCTCCTTTATCACATGCTTCTTCTTGGGGCTCTTGTTGTCGAGGCTGAGGACCTTGTTCCTGTAGTTCAGCATGCGGTTCGTGGCCAACGGGTAGCCGTAGGTCTCGTTCACTTCAAACACCATGAACCATGACATGCCCATGAGAACCACAACCATGAAGACTTTTAGCCAAAGGTACTTTCCTGCTGCTTCCAAAAAGGTTCTCTTGTACTCGAAGGTGCGTTGCTCCCGGGATCGGAGTCCGCCGGGACAGCAGTACTTGCATGGTAGTACTCGGTGTACGCTGGTTGCGTTCCTGAGGCCATGACATCTTCCTGAGGTGTGGGTCTTCTCTCCGTAAGGCGAGTACCAGAGTTCTGGTAGCTCTTCCTCAGCTGGAGCTACGCGCTCCACCGTCTCCTTTCTCACAAGTTCTTTCACAAAGCTTCTCGCCAGACACATCAGCGAAAAGGCCAAAGCCAAGGAAACCATGGCGACAGCTACCTGTTGTTCCTGTGATAGCTTCATCGCTCCCAAGAGGTCTGAATCAGGGAGCTCCGCTACCATGTTGAAACTAAAGGCTTCTCAAGCCTTCCTTCCCACTCTACTTTCAAACACACTTTTCTCACTTCTCGGGCTGACTTCCTTAAGCCTCCGTGTCGCGGTTCACACACATGTTTCATGTGTTCTCGTGATTACTCTACACACTCTACTTGGGACTACGTGCACTAGGTTACAAACGAACAGAATCACATTGTCCGAAGAATCCCTTGCTTGCAAGTCATGCACATAATCCCCCAGCAAGTATTCCTTATAACGTTCAAAGAGATCCGAGCCCAGGTCACGAAGGTCCGCTCGGCCTGGAAACTTGAGCTTCAGCATCAGATATGCATTGCGCATGATGTTCAGACGCCGTCGGAGCTCCTCGGGATTAGCCGGGAGCGCAACGCGGGAGGATCCCCGCTTGACAGTCATCTGCCCCTTCGAATCCCAAACCGGCATCAAGGTCTCCGGGTCCAGTTCATCGCGGGCTGTGACCTCCTGCAAGGATTCCGCTTTGAACTCTCCATGTTCCACCTCCAACAGCTTTCGCTCCAGGTACTCTTTCGAAGGCAGGACTTTCTCTTCCAAGGTGCCATAAGTTTTAGAGTAAGCCTGACGGAGCAGAATATATTCCGAAGTGGGAATCGGCTTTGTCCATTCCCGGGTGTCCTGTTCAGCCTCGGCTTCTGCCTGGCGTTGCACACGGACCTTCGATGCTTTCCAAGCCGCGATGAAGGAAGCCACCTGCCCACGAGCTGCAGGACTGGTCGTGGGGTCCAGCTGAAACTCATCTTTCAAGACTGCATGCAGATCTGTTTCCCCCGAAGCAAAAGCGCTAAACTTGTCAAGCGTGTCAATGCCAGCAGCGAAGAGCTTGCGCAAATGACCATCCTCGATCCCTTGTCTCTGCAGCAGAAAACGGAGGTCAGAAGACCCCAGCGTTAGCGGATCGACCGCCGGTCCCCCTGCCCCGGCGGCAGGTGCTGGCGGCGGCCCCGGAGGCCCACCACCCCCGCCATGCGCAGGCAAGGCCATGCTGCGCCCCCGCACCCAAGTACGGCCCGTCCCGCTTGAGTCCCAAAATTTCGGAATGTACCGAAATGAGCAGAAGCACACGCTTCCCTGTCTCCACCGCACTCATAAGAGCCTGCGTTCAATCCCTCGAGGTGGGGTACTCGCCCGCACGAAACTCTGCGCAACGCTCCCAAGAGCATGCCACATTGCGTCCCGAGAAGCTCGCCGCTCACCCTGACCCTTGTTTTCTCAGATTCCCGAGACTTGATCCCACGAGGCAGGGGGACTTGATGCCTCCCCCTCGTGCTCCGAATTGGATTCTGAAGAACCCGGACCTGAAGAGTCGTCGCTCGACTCATCTATCGAGGGCCAGCAGAGCTTGCACCGATGTGTATATTCATCGGGACCCGGCATCTCTGAAACAAAAGAACTCTGGTTAAAATGCCGTGCACGACCCATCCAGCAGCCGCTTGCCCCAGACTTATGGAGCCTAATGGCCCCCCGGCGGGACGACACTAGAACGAAACCCTCACCGCGCTCAGGAGGCGCCTCGCAATCCCGGTCGTCCTCCCCCGCGGCTGGCTCATCGTCCTCGTCGTCCTCCTCCTGCTCGGCTGGGTCCTCTTGGGACCAACTCGCAAGAGAGGCCTTGAAGAGATCCACAATTTTCTCTGCTTCGTCTGCAATCATACCTTGCCGAGCCCTCAGCCAACGAAAAGCAGCGTCAAAGACATCGTAATCGTCAACATCCCCGGCAAGGCGCAGTCTCTCTAGCTCAGCAACGAAATAACGGTGGATCCTCCGAATCTTTCCCGAGAAACTCCGACTGTAAACGTCACTGCCCTCTGGTCTCCAGCGCCCTAGTGCATCACGGTCCCTTGGATCCAGACCGAAGCTGTCGAGGATCGTGGGCAGCCTCGCCCTCTCGCTGTGCTCCGTCCACAGCTCCACCAGTTCCTGGGGGACCAGACGACGACCCTCCAAATCCACGAGCCTCCTAGTCACCGCAA